AATGATAATAATAATAATAATAATAATAATAATAATAATAATAATAATAATAATTTAATATTTATATTGCGCAAATTAACATGTGGATATGATCAAATGCGCATCACAACACTTTTCGGGGGACTTTGGCCGGACTGCATCAGCAGTTTACAAACAATCGAAGGAAACTTATTTGAAGATGCCCCCTCCCCCCAATTCCCAGTAAACAGGCCAGACCACATCACAGTAATCTCGTGAGTGGGTTCTTTAACGTCCCCTGCCTAACCAAATTAACTAATTAATAGATGCAGGAGACGGGACCTACGGTTTATTCGTCCTTATCCGAGAAGACTAGAATGTCTATCCATTTCTTGATATTATAGAAAGGTAGCGCATTCTCCTCAGTTATTTTAAGACCTTGAGTGTTGGTCCGGCCGGGGCTCGAACCATCGACCTCGACCTCCCGCACAACAGTCCAGCGCTCTAACCAAGAAATAAGAAAGTCCAAAGCAAAATAGATCGTTCTCGTCCATAAACGACACAAACTTCCCACTGAATGCTATCCACTGTGGCTTGGGTTAAAAAAAATGAGGTAGTGATTTTGATTTAATTTGAAATCTTCCGATCCTATCAAGCAGATTTTTCTCACTACAGTTTAACTGTCATTTTTCGATCATGCTTCAGCCAATCAGAAGAGATGGAGTCTATGCCACAGATCTCTTCACTCAGGAGGCTATAAAAAAGATCAATGCTCACGATAATTCTAAACCAATGTTTCTGTACCTCGCTCACCAAGCAGCGCATTCAGCCAATAAGAACGATCCTTTGCAAGCACCACAACACCTTATTAAGGTAATAGAATCAGTTTAATACTCGATAAATACTGTTTTGCATAAGTTAACGTGGACAGCATCTAACTCATACTGAAACATACCAAAATGAATTTTAAAAATGGATATCAATTACAGACACAACCTTTCAAATTACTGCCGAAAGCCAGGGGTGTAGTAAAGCAAAAAAGGAAACTAGAGAAATCACTAAAAACCCTTTACAAGTGCGAATTATTTGAGCAATAAAATAATTATAGAGATGCTACCTTATTATATTTAAGAGGAACTATATCTTTGGCAATGGGACAGTCTTCTTTTAAGTATGCTGCTGCAAAAGACTGGAATGATCTGCCAACTCTAGGTTCGACTGATTGGTTTAAATCAGGATAAAAAAAGATTATTATAAGATGATTATAAGTTTCATCCGCAATCAAACATGTAAAGTCCATCTACGTCCATCAAAAAAAAAACAAAAACAAAAACAAAAAAACACCATACTGATGCTGAAATAGCTTATGTTATCATTGATTTACTTTGTCATATCATACTGTCAGTTCATACTTTAATTTTCATTTTTAATAGTAACGTACACTTGTCACAAAATCTTTTCAGTGATCAGTCACTTTACGGTCTTTCTTAAGAAATTCAGTTTTATCAAAGACGAAAGAAGACAAAAGTACGCTGCCATGGTGACATCATTAGACGAATCGGTCGGAGCCGTGAGGCAAGCACTCGCTGATAAAGGGATGCTTCAGGATTCCGTTATCATATTCACCACTGACAACGGAGGAGCTCCTTATGGATTTAACTGGTAATTATTTTTACTTGTTATTACTCCTAGTGTAGTTCGTAAAAAATGGCAAAAATTTGATGTTCATTCAACCCGACAATGGACAGTTAAAAAGAAAATTTACAACAATTAACAAATCGATTATAATAATAATAGTTAGTGTCGTCGAGTTTTCATTCAGAACTGTTAGCTTTGTAACAAAAAGCCCCGATTATAACTTCGTTTTCAACGAGGACATAACAGTGCTTTAGTCTAACAAATTGTGTAACAAAAATTAGTGTTGGCAAATTGACGTCGGTACTGAGTCTGGACCACTAGTGTTGGTGAATTAACCTGAGGTGTCGTCAAGTTGACTAATGATGTCGGCGAGTTGACATATCGGGAAAGTGACTGGTTAACCGTAAAGACAGCGTATGGAGTTCGTACATAAAGTTCATTGTAGATTTATTTTCATTTAAAAACAAACATTTTTGACCCTCGTGTATAATTTCAAATAGGAATGCTGGCTCAAACTTCCCTTTCCGGGCAGGCAAAGACACCCTGTGGGAGGGTGGGGTGAAAGGTGTTGGTTTTGTCTACACTGCTAATGATCTCATCAAGCAGAAGAAGCGTGTGTGCACAGGACTGATTGATGCAACAGACTGGGCAGCGACTCTATACCACTTAGGAGGAGGTAATGCAGAACTTATATCGGCCAGGACTGACGGAAAAAACGTTTGGGAGACGATATCGAACGACGCTCCATCACCTCGGGACGAAGTGTTGCATAATATAGACCCCAGGTAAGCCTTAGAAGTTTCCTAATTTTTAACTGCAATTACGAGTATTACTAGATTAAAGAAAGTGAGGCAAGTCGGAGACCATTCACTTCGAATGGCTTGATTGAACTTGCGTTGTTGCAATAAGGGTAAAAGTTTAATCCACACCTGCTCGGTAGTGGTAGGATCAGTGTGAACTGGAAGGAAGTAGAGCCAAGAAATTTGGTGCCGGAATCATTCTATCCTTTGGAAAGACTATAGTTATTTACGACTTTAACCCTTAAATCCCTTGGAGTGATGGGCATATATTTTCTTCCGACACTGTTATCCCTGAATCAAACACTTTTAAGGTCACGAGAAGAAAGGAAATTTATCGTGAACTCAAGAAGCTTTTGATTGTTAGATAAATTCTCCCTATAATCACCATAAGAAATTCACAGAACTTGTGAATAAAAGTGAATGATTCGATCACTTAATAGCAGCATAGGCTGAATTGCTAAGGTCTACAGTGTTACTAAGGTTGAGATCGGACGTCAGCATTATCAGGCGCCTCTGGCAGCCGCTTTAGTCCATGTAACGACCTCACCTTTTCCCCCACACATCCCACCCCAGGGGAGGACATCCATCACACAGTAATCTCGTGAGTGGGTTCTTTAACGTCCCCTGCCTAACCAAATTAGCCAATTAATAGATGCAGGAGACGGGACCTCCATTTATTCGTCCTTATCCGAGAAGACTAGAATATTCATCCATTTCATTGATGTTATAGAAAGGTAGCAAATTCTCCTCAGTTATTCTAAGACCATGAGTATTGGTCCGGCCGGGGCTCGAACCCTCGAACTCCCGCACAACACAATCCGGCGCTCTAACCAATTGAGCTAACCAGGAGGCGGTTGCCTACTGATTGAAGCCTACTGATTGTTGCCTACTGATGCTAGGGCATAACAGGTTAAGTAGTTGATTACGAGTCGTTGATTAAAAATGAGGAACGGAGAGTTTTAGAGGTCATGTCAAACGGACTGGTTCTAGTGGTGTTGGTTGAGCGGACTCACTGAGTTGTGTTTGGACCAAAACGACAATTTCTCTACCTTGTCAGTAGAATATACGGTGGAGCGGCAATAGACTGGCATTCTGCAACTCAGTAAGCCACTACTTAGCGCATCGATCGTTAAAAACAACAAAACAGACAACTTAGCTTTGCAAACGGTGGGGCAGTCCATATGTTGTTTAAAGTACTGCTACGCTTTCTTCGATCGCAGAGAAAATCGGACGGTTACGAAGTGTTTAGAAACCTTTTATTTGTACTTAAATCGGTTCTCCTGTCACACAGGGTTTCCATTCGGGAAAAAAGTAGCGAATGTATATAAAAGCTAATAGCGGAAAGGAACAGGAGAATATTCTCAATAAGCAGGCTTTAAAGGAGGGTTCTGAATAGTAATCTTGACTATGAAACCGTACTTAGAATAACTGGGGTCTGTGAATCTTGAACCTTCTCGTATTCAGAACATGCTAGTAAAAAAAAATGACGTATAAGACTCTTTATGGAATTGCTCCACCATATCTCGGATCACTACTGGAAGAACGAAAAACGGCGTATAACCTCAGACGCTCAAATCACAACTAAGGTGATGAGCTTCGCCCGAAGGCTAAGTGCATGGCAACCCCAGTGTAGAGTGCTCAATCGCAAGGTAGCCAAAAGGCAAAGCCAAGCGAGAGCTATCTAATATATATATATATATATATATAACTGCAGACAGTGCACACTGTTTCGACCTATGTGGGTCTCATCAGTGCAGTGCAGACACTGGGCCAAGCTCTGGAATAAACCATTGCCTGGGCGCTACACTTGTGGGACCAAGTGCAGGCATGTTGCCATGTGAGAGTGCTCAAATCACAACTAAGGTTATTTCTTAAATGTTAATTATACTCGGAGATACTAGCTCTCGGCTCGAGCTTTATTCTAAATCCGAGTTTAAATAAAGTTATATGTACGTATGTATGTATTGTCCAAGACTGGATAAAAAGAAACCTAAGCTATTACCTTGATGAGCATCTTGTCACATTCTACCTCACAAGTCCATTCAGCAATGTCTGACGGAAGTTATGACCATGCCATCGAATAATCGCGTCTTTGCTCGACGGATGAATCAGCGATCGACTGAAAGCAGAAATTTATTTTCTAACCATTTTCCCCAATTTTTTTAACGGCTGGGAGAAATGATTAGTGAGTCTTTAAGGCCCACGTATTCTCTCAGAGAAGATAAGTTGCTTCCATCTTTGATACTAAGCAACATATCAGGCGAGTCTCCTTATGTGTTGCTATCGAAGAGCAACACGTAAACAATTTGTGATATAAAAGGGCACAAAACTGGATCAAACTCGATTGTTAGTGATAGTAAAGAACAGCTTCTCTCTACCGACTGTTGGCTGTTTGTCGGCTGACAGGTTTTCTGAGTCTGCCTAATAGTTGCCCGATTCTCTGGGATGTGGACCAATCACATGTGTTCTTAAAATTTCATATGACACCAGGCATAATAATTTTAACTATTGATTGATTTTAACGATGTAACCTCTAATATTCTCACCTTACGCTCAGACGGAATTTTGAAGCCATCCGCAAAGGCAAATTCAAGCTTGTGGTCGGGATGGATGATACGTACCAGCTGGGATGGCACGCAAGATACCCAACAGAACATCCCCCTCCCTGGCAGGCAAATCCAACACTTCCCGGAGCAGAAATCCAGTGTGGCCAGTGGACGAATGGCGAAGGCATGTGCGACTCAAAGCATCACAAAGCTTGTCTTTTTGATCTTGAAAGCGGTAAGAAAACAGTAGCAATTAACCAACTTAATAGCTTGATATAGAAGACTCTTACCGTGCTTGTTGAAATTACAAGAACCTAAATCATGCATACATGTGTAAGCATATTCTCATGCATGACAGACATCTTAAAATTAAAAAAAAAGGAATATCGATCCTTTTCCTTAAAAAATGAGAGCGGTTGATGTTGACATCAGCTGATGTAGTCTGTATGAAGCACCATTTTCTGGCTTTTTCAACCTCCATAGGTTAAGCGCAAAGTAAGTACTTCACCTTACTGGCTACTCTTTGGTGAACTCTAAAGAAAAATTTTTACTGCATGGTGATATAAGAGGTAGAGATGGAGAACTTGAAGAAAACTATGAGGTTGTTCTTTTGCAATCAACACAACCAAGTATAATTATCACTACCCACAAACAAAAAAACAAATAACTTATCTCAGTCTTCCCTTTTTCAATTTTGTTGTATTCAAAGCTGTATACCTATACCTATCATAAAAGAAATTCAGAGATTCCCTTATTGCCAAAATGGATAAATATTACACCTGCCACAACTTGTGTTTTCACCGATGAAGTTTAATTGAAATGTATAAATATAATCACTGACAATATTCACTTTGAGTTTTGAACTGAGATAACCTGTCCCCATGATTTTCTAACCAAATATAGCAAACAAGAAGCTCCAATTTTTTGCTGTTTTTACTTTTTTCCTACAATAATGTGAACAGGTCAAAGTAAAAGTCAGTTAGAAAGTTCATGCTCTGTCATATAGATGGCCTCAGGAAAGACATCACTGTAGATTCATATAAAAAATACTGGAAGATGAAGAGATGTTGACATCAATCTGTCTTGCTATAAAAGAGTCTGACTTTAAAACATTTAAGTCCTTTTAAACAATCATCTACCACACAAACCAAAAGAGAATTTATACTCCTTAGGCTGTTTTTTTTTTTTTTTCTTTTTTCCCAGAAACCTCTCTCTCCCACCTCTTACACAAATCATTAAATAGGCTCAAAGCTAGGATTTTATTGCAACTAAGATAATTGACTGTTTATAAATATATCTTATTAACCAAGCGCATGGGTCGTAGTGGAAGAATATCGGCCCGAGGTCTTTTTTGTATGGACCTCCCGGCGCTCGGTCTGTACAAAAGAGACCGAGGGCCGATATTCTTCCAGTATGGTCCTGGGCAAGCTTGGTTAATAAGAGATTTATTGTACAACTGAAGTTCAAAGGGATATAAGTGCAGTATCATTCGGGACCATTCGGGACAGTGCCGGGTCCAATACTTAGAGAATATTGACTGGCAATAGAGCATTTTGATTGATTGATTTTAGTTATTGGCCCTCTGACTGCCTGAGTCGTGTAACAAAGGATTGAATTACACCCTACTAGTGGAGAAAACTGAAAACAGACTGTGAAAATTTCCTTAAAGCCAAGTTTATACAATTAGCTTCAGGGTAGAAAGATAGTGTACATGTAAAATAGTGGTACATTTATATGCCAAATATGGTACATTGAGTGATTATCCATCAACTATTTTTGCCTGCATGCAATTGGTCTAAAATCATCACATGACTGAGTATTCCCCAACTCAGACACTTGTCCTTGGACATCTATTTCTCAAAACTCACAGTTTTCCTCATGCTTCACTCCCAGAAACTGTTCATTTCTCAGAACAGATAATGTCCACAGACAAAGATCAGCTCATATTTTTCACAACAAATGGAGTTTATTGGCAATACAATTATTATTAGCCTTTCAATATCTTGGAGTTTCTCATAAACATAATGTCATAAGATGTCACTTACAGTGTCATTTGCTTAGATAACATTTCCATGTGACCTGTCAGTTTACCCGGACTAAAATATTGCCATTTGAAGTAACCAGCTGCAACTATCCCAATTATCAAAATATCATTCTGCTTAAAAATTGTTTGCACGACCCCTAGTTTTTGGTTGAATTTCATTTCATAATTTTACTTGCTTCCAATGCTTTAATCTGGGGTTTACACTGAAAAACTGCCAAGCTAAATACCGGGTATCAACAATGACAATTTGCATTCACTTTCCTACCATGAACATCATATTTGACCCTTGAACTCCCAGAAGTGACTTACACGTATCAACTTCTTATAAAATCAATATACACTATCAGCAAACAAGTGATGAGAGTATACTCCAACTTATCACATTTTGATCTAACACCAAATTCTTGTAACTAATCTACAAGAAAATGTGTAACAGCCAGAGGACCACGATTTTTAGCGGGGCTCCCACACATGCGTGGGGCAGAGCCCCATACCCATGGAATATGGTCAACCTCTTTTCATTTGGTTGCCACGTGACTGACCGAGCATACGTATGTATGTACATACGTACATACGTGCCTAAGGGAAGGGTGACTCAGGCGAGTCTTGGCATATTCACATCTTTTATGTTATCATTAATATTATGAACTTGGGAGCTCTGCTTTTAGGCTTGGCTAAATCTATATATTAAATTGTTAAAAAAATTAGATCTAGGCAGTTAATTAAAGGGTTAAGCAATACTGGACTTTCTCCAAGTTTACATACTTGATACCTCATCTAAACCCAAAGGTGAATGGGTGAATTTGTGATGGTAATGTAAACCCATAACAAAGTCAACGAATTTGAATAGCTTTTGAGAATCCTTCCATTCTCCTGACAATTTAGATGAGGCTGTGTAAACGCAGTAAAAGTCTTCCGTTATTTTTATGAAATGTTGCAGGTAAATACCTTCGAATTTAAAACGTCTCTGGAAATGATGTTTACCTATTCTAGCTCTTGAGAAAAACAACCAGTGACCAATGATATTCGTAAAATACAGGTATTGGCACAAGGATCAAACGTTTCACTGTTTCTGGTTGATCATAATACAACTAGAGAAGTTCAAACATTGCCAAACATTGACTTCATTCGATTGTACTAAAAACGGGAGAAATTATTGGTCAGGTCGAATCATTGAATGAAATGAACAAAATATATATTTGCCTGTGCATACTTCTGACAGTGAAAATCCTGTTCAGGTCGAATCATTGAGTGAAATGAACAAAATATATATTTGCCTGTGCATACTTCTGACAGTGAAAATCCTGTTTTGAAAGTCAAAGTGCGATAAATAATGAGTCCTAATTTGATTTCAAAGGTTTGAATACAATTATATACTAATAAGGTATCGCTTTTCGCAATAAAAGCTAGGTTGTTTGTCATTTTAGACAAATTCTTACCTTTTTCAGCAGCAGTCCTCAATAAATACCAGCAAAGTACCAAAATGTGACTGTGAATAAAAGCAAAGTTCCACTGACTCGGTAAAAACTTTGAGGCAGAGCTTGTATTGTCCATATGTTCCAAGCCAGAAGTCTCCCTCTCTCAGACTAGGTTTACACTAGAGGAGAGTTTTCCGGATTCGTAAATGTTTCCGGATCCATCAATTTTGGAGTATTCGGATTCGTAGGCGTTTACACTGAAAGGATATTCGGATTCCTGACCGTTTATACACAAAGGCAACGCCCTATCAAAAGCTATAGCTCTAAGACAAAACATGTTTCTGCTCCTTATCGGTAAAACTTTGAAATGCTCATTTACTCTCGTTTCCAGATCCCTGTGAATACAAGGATGTCTCGGACGTCTATCCGCACAAGGTTCAGGAGCTGAAAGAGAGGCTTAACTACTACCGCAGCACGGCGCTGCCAGTTGTTTATCCAATGATCAGCCCCAAAGCAGATCCAAAACATTTTCATAGTTTCTGGGGTCCCTGGGAAAAACTCAGAGATAAGTCGGAGTACTTTGCTGCAAAGAGAGCTTGTAACGTCGTGCATCAAAAACAGGTCCAGTTTGGTTTACATCGAATGGTATACTCCAATCAAACTCAGTGAGTCAGAGAGATGAAGAGATATATTTGCATAGTCAATGCAGTCTGGTTGCAGACGGAGACGTATAACATTTGATTCCTTAGTATCCACATGTTGGGGTTCCAAACGGCTGTCATGGCCGTTGTTCCTTACCATGTCTCATTAGAAATACTCAAGGGAACAATTCCAACAAAGTATTGCAAAAGAAATGATAGTATTAAGTTCTAAGAAGGGACTTGATGGACGCCAGTCATAAATTCAAGGGCTTAAGGGTATCTAACCTCTGATGCTTATGTGGACTTGGGCATCTCTGTAAGTTACTCTTTTGACTAGGAACCAAGCAATATACTGAGATTTCATAGTCAACTCTTTAACTACTAGTATCTGATGAGAGATCTTCTCTAATAGCTGATATAGTTTCATGAATGAAGAAATGTTTCAGACAACACCCTTTGGGTGATAACTTTTACGCTCTCATCACCTGTTTTCTGTTAGACACTCAAGAATAAAAGGAGAGCTACATATTAAAGTTGCTTCTGGTCGTTAAACGATAAATACCAGGTTACGAGTTTCGCAAATTCATGTAAGCTCAAATATTAATCTCGTCAAACTTGGAGTTTCTTCGTTTTTTGTAAACGAGGCTCCGCTCAGTAATCTTTAGCCTTTACCCTAGAAATAAATTCGATGATTGGCTATGAAATTAGTAACGTGAATGTGCATATAATTATCCACTGTTAAGAGCGACTGTTTGTTATCCAGTTTTCGATTGTAAGGGCCGTAATCATCTAGAATGTAGGATACCAATCCCTCAAATAAAACCCAGGTTAAGCAAGAATTTAATAAAAAAAGCGGGAACTGAGATTAGAAGTTACGCCTGTGAACATGCTGTTTATAAGAAGTGATTGAATAGGAGTAAGCTAAACATGCCATTTTTGCATTTCATTTATTTAAAGGTAGACCTGTTATTTGCATCTTCCGCTCGGTTCTCATTGTACCCTGCTGCGACAGAAAGTACGTGCCAAAGGAATCTAGCTTCGAGACTGAAAGACCTTTCAAACAATCGCAGTTCCTTAATAGAGCAATGAGGAATCCATGCACAGATGTGTGAATTGGTTATTCAGTCAAATGGCAACACTGAAGAAGATAGGTTAAAAATAGCTCTTGATAATCTGTTTATTCATGTAAAACAATAAGGTGACAAGTATTTGATAAGCCTTAGGGAAAAATTAATTAATGATCAGACCGATTAATTTGTTGTTAAACAACTTCCCATCGAATTGCCCAACAGTACACCATTCATTTGATGTCAAATGAAAACTGTTCTTATTTTCGGTTTCTATAAATGATCGGCCGACCAAAGTTTTACACGAAACCTAAAACCTGTGATGGTGGAAGGAAGAATTAGAAAATTAATACTATGCTGGGAGAAATGGCAACCTGACATTTCAACAAAATGACTTTAAGAACGTTTTGCGACTGTGGTCAACAACTTTGTTCTTATTTACACACGTTAAATCAGCCCACAAGACTTATCTCTTAGCTTATTACTGTCACATTAAACTAGATTCCATATTAAATTTCGGATGCTCCAGTTGTCACATTCCTTATGGTAGCCAGAGCACTAACTCTTTTCTCTTCGTATTCCTAAACAAATTACAATTGTTGACGCATTTAGCATTGTTCGTGGTTTTTAGCCTACAACTTCAACCTTATAGAATCTTTGTCGAAAAAAATTTGTGGAGTTGGTAATTTCCGGCACAAAAATATGTGAAGTTGGCAATTTCCCACTGGATTTTTTTCATTTGCGTCGACAAAGGCGAATTTCTCTCACATGATGCGATTCAATTTGGTAGTTGATGTTTGAGGAGGTTTGTTTACAGAAGAAGTTAACTATGGCTAACAGTTATTACAGGAAATTTTTTTCATTTCAAGCGTTACTGCTAAATATTTTTCGGAAATGTTTATACAAAATTCGTCATCCACCGTTTTTGCCATTAACTTTCACTTTCGATTGCCTCCATGTTGGGTACAGCAGTATGGCCGTTAGATCCTCGATGTTTACGTTGGTTCATGTAGCCACTGATCGCGGATCCTCGTCTAGTGAGGTACATACTGACAGAGGAGCCCCGTCGGCTGTTCCCTACAGTCTGCTCTAAATAAACCCGATTAAAAAGTCGCTTGAATGCTCGCCTGTATGTGCGATTCATACAAGTGTATATCACAGGGTTCAAACACGAATTTAAGTATTCCATCCACTTGAACATGTTGTAAACTTCCATTGGGTAAGTGAAATTTTTGTTCGTTGCATGACCCACCACAATAATGAAGAATGGAAGCCAACAAATAACGAAAGCGCCAATGACAACTAAGATGGTCTTTGCTGCCTTCATCTCGTTTGCATGTTCTTTCCCTCCAGCTGATCCAATTCTGTGCACTTGGATTTTGACAACGACAAAGATTACAGTGTACATCACGATTACAAGTGACAAGGGAATAAAGAAACTTGCAAAAGCCGCAAAAAGGCCATAGCTGCTCCAATTGGCCAGTCGTAGAGAGGCGATGGTAGTGGAGTACAACCAAACCAGTGCGAGGATAATTAAGACTCTCTTGGTGGTCAGTATCTTTGGATACTTGAAAGGTGTCACGATTGCCAACATTCGATCAATACTGACTGCTGTAAGATTCATAATAGAGGCTGTACCACAGAAAATGTCGACGAAATTCCAGAAGGGATACAATCCCTCTTTCAACCAAGGCCACGGCCAACTTGTATTATTGAGCTGAACTATGAGCCAGAACGGCATAGCTAACAGAGCAACCAAAATATCTGCCACACTTAAACTAACAATAAAATAATTACAGATCGTTCTGAGGTTAGGAAAAGTGTAGAAACTGATACACACAAGAACATTTCCAAATAGAGTCACCAAGATCAATATGCCGACGAAGACGGCCGCAACGATGCTACTCGGAGTAGGATTTATGCCAGTAGGGGGAGAACCCGTGATATTTCCTGCCTCAGACATGTTGAGTACCTTCCACCGATGCCTTTAATACGCCTGTGTGAACAAGAAACGAAACAAAAGCTAAACGTCAACCTCATCTGCATAACTGAATAAATACAATCACTGCCATCGAAAGGAACAAAGAAATAAAGACCAATTTCCTCAACGCACATGTGGACAAGAGAGTCATACAACTATTCTATGACATGCCCAAAGGCATTTTTTTTCACTTTCTATCTTATAACAGGCTCAGCATATAATGAAATAATCTCTGTATTGATCAGCTATGGGAATAATTTCGAGGTCAACAAGCGCTTTCGTAGCTTAGGTAATAATCGGTTGCCGGAAAACCCCAAACGCTCAAAATACCTTAAAAGCTCATTTACACCTTTTCTTTGATTACCGATATTAAACTGCTAAATCAATTAAGGTCACCACTCCATGACTATCAATAAAGGAACGGAAAACATTCGCATCAAGCTTTTGGTGGAATAAAGTTAATCGACGAGGTTAAAAAGGCTTCTTAATTATATAAACGCTTTAAGCAATAAAGGGTAAAGATCAATCTAATATGATAATTCTATCAAAAACTGCATGCATAGAGATGAAATCTCATTGTCGAGATGAATAGGCTTAGAAATCAATTTACTTTCTTATCACACTTGTTTGTGAATTCAACCTTATTACAGTGGTTCAATTGAGACGTACTATAATAAAAAAATCTGCTCGAATCTCTCTTTATTCTGAATATGGTTGAAAAATTTCATCACTGTAAAAACAATTTTGAGCATTCAAATCTGCATGGCGAAGACATCGTTGTTCTTCAGACGACGTCCCTCAGTGCAGAATGATTAAACATGAAAACATAGTCTCTGTCAGACAGATATTTACTCCAGCAAAGACAAGTCTGTTATGATGAACCGGCTTTGTAAATATCTGAAATGTAAAGGCACTGTTTGTTTTCTTTTCAGTCCGACCTTACTATCCGCTGTTTTCTCTCACTTGAATGCTTTCACCGTGCGTTGACACTTAAGGTGTGGGGAGAATTTGGCAAACCCTTCCTGCATAATCTATTCTCCACCTATCGTCAGATTGCTTTTCAGGCCTATGCGGTGAAAAGTAAACTTTGAATGTTGACATTCCGGCCCCTCGCGTTTTCTATTTTGATGGGCATATCACAGAGCTTATGTAAACTGAACAGACGATATGTCTTTGAAGCTAGACTTGAAACAGTAGGAATTTGATTTGCTAGGAATTGTCGAATGAACAAAAGGACATCTCAATAACGGAATAGCGACACAATGAAATGCGTTTTAAACTCAAGTTTGACTACCTCCTTGTTGAAAGTTTTTCTTCTTCCTTAAACCGATCTGCATCTGTTCGCTTTTCTCTAGATTTCACATTCTCTGTAGGGGTCAACAGGTTAGTTGCGCTGCGAGGCTTTAATTCAAATAGTTAAAAGATAAGACTTTAACCAAAAATGTACTTCAAAGAAATTGATTTTATCAATCGGTGATTACCGATAGTTGAATAATACTTGATGATCGCGAGAAGATGATAAATTGTTCGATACACGCAAAGCAAAATCAGAAAACTCTCGTTAAATGAAAGCTCAAGTAGCTTACAGAATTTGTAAGTGGCAAAAGTTGTATGTGGCATTTGCATTTGCAGCTCTTGCAATATATCCATTTCATTTGAAAACGATGGTTTCGAACGTGCTTACGTGTTTTAGTCATCCGCTCCCTGCATGATAGGCGCCTACAACTGGCGGAGGCGTATAGTCCGTGACGTCGAATCGGTCTACAAATTCATCCTGACCGGAACACCTAAGATAAGGTCTTTGACAAATATATATGGCATGATCGACATTTATGCAGGAGCCAAAGAAAACGTTTTTACCTTATAACGATTATTGTGATTCTTCCCTGTCCTGGCTGTGTACGAAAATCTGTAATATGGACATCACTAACCTGGGTGGCTCAATTCATTTTTGGCTTTTGAGTCTAAATACGATCAGTGTTGAACTTTGGGTCGAGAAAATAAAAATCAGCTCACGAAAACGCAGACGAAATTAGTGCACGTAATTCATGAAAGGAATCACAAAAGCAAATACTTTGACAGGAATAAAGTAAATCTAGTAGCTTTTATGCAAACTTTATTAATAGCATCGCCAACAATAGCTCAGAAACCATGATAAATGATCTAAAGACGGAAATTATCCTGTAAGATATCTCTTTTGCGAAATATATTTCTGTGACACCTTTTTCGTATTAATCTGAATCTCTTTACCGTTCCACAGTTGACGATTACAATCATACTGTTATTTCTTTGTGCAGCAAAAGAAAGCTAGCTTTACGATATACTTTGACTTGATGAGCACAAACAAACGGAAAGATCGATGTATGGAGCCCAGAAATAGAAGCAATTTGTACTTCTGAATATCCTCAATCAGTGGAAGCTATGGAATATTTTTAATGAAAGGTTTATCTTGAGATTCGCGATGTACTGTGATTTGATAAGCATGGTTAACTGAACAGAAGGATCCAAAGAACTAAATATTATCTTTCGTAACCATGCGTTAATCAATTCACGCCGAAACTTCACGGAACGAAACTTTTGGCGTCTTTTTGGACAGACTCAGATATGATCTGTCTCTCTTTCACGCGTTAAGAGATTGATCTCGGCTTCGATGGAAAGCTGTTGATAAGCTTTGGTAATAAACAGATGAAACTAAAGAATTGTAACCCATATTTCAAAACACCGGTATTCAATTCAGACTGATATTTATTGTTTTGTCTCAACCTAAAATCAAACAAAAAATAAAAAAAAGATGACCAGTTTCGGTCCATGCTTTCAGACGTTCTAATGCTGCCCCAGAAAAGTCCACATTTTTTTTTTTTTCTTTTGCACTTACACCAAAGATACATTAGTTTTGCGGTGTTTCCTCGTTAAGAGATAAAGTTGTTTCTTTCGTGATAGACGATGCACGGGATTAATTATAAATTATTTTAAAAAATGAAAACAACGAAACGTTTCTACTTACGCCTCCGTTGGCCTGTTCTCACTTACTCCGCAATCGTTTAACAAATTCCTTAAAACCATTAACGAAGAGCTTCGATTGCAATTGTTAGAATCGAACCCGATTTGATAAGAAGATTCCCGTAAAAAAAACTTAATTTAAATTGAATCTGGATCTTCTTAGCTCATTGTTCGGGCGATACCCCACAGTCTATCCTGTAATCTATGGAACTTGGCTTCAATGCCATTGGTTCTATGTGAACGACAAACGGAGACCTTCAGTTCAAACCCTTAATAAATAAGTGATTATTTGCTTTGACGTATAAATTTATGAAAAACCTAGACAAAACCAATACATTTACTCGCATTACTTAGCTCAGCACACAATGATTGTTTACGCGCTGAAATAGTGAATTAATCTGCTCTTCCCAGGCTTTTCCTTGCGGCGACAAAAGAAAAATTGCATAAAGGGGAAACATTTCTTGAATTATAGTAAACATAATAAGATTTTAGAGGCGAGACACCCGTGCTTAATTGCTAGGCAAACCAACTACAGTGAATTGTTTAAACGCATCGCATCATGGAACAGGATGCGCGAAAGGTCACGCCGGCAAAAATGTTGTAGGTGACAAAAGCGAAATCATCGACCAAAGATTAAAAGTAACAGGCTTAAATTACGAGGCAAGTATTTCCATGCGATTCTGAAGTAATTTCTGTAACAGTAATTTTGTAACAGTAATTTTGCAAAAGTGTGAAATAAACGAACAGAAATTACTTTTTACGTTTGTTGATCTGTGCACTCTTGTTGTTCTTTACAATTTATCTACCATACCTTACAGCGATTCGGGTCACAGTGTACAAGACTTTTTCAACTGCCACTCTCCGTGACAGAAATCTCCGTACCAATAGATAAGTAACAGCTTTGAAGATTTCAAAGGCCGGCCACACCTTTTCGTATGTAATAATCAATTTGGTCTTTTGTGGTTCGGTTCCTTTCACATATACTGTCAACGAACGCAGGTAAAGATATCGCTAGATTCTATTAAAATAATCTTGTCTTTTTTAATTACAAATTAAGAACTACATTTCAACTTTAATTTACGGTTCAGAGAAGCCCATAATGTGACTGATTAAGGAGTGTCAACATTGTGGTTTAATTTGCGGGTCGCGTCAGAAGATTTTCAACCAGTTTCCAAATATGGTAATTAATCGGAGCTGAGGATGGTTTTTTTATTTTCGAAACTAGTCTTACTCGTTCAGCATATGTTCACAATTTTATACAAACTTAGGTCGACTTAAGCCGAGCAAGCTTAAGCAAGAAAACTCCTCTTTTGACAAAAAAAAAAAGTTAAAATTTAGCCAACGCAAACTATGTTTTGCCACTTTCTGGCAGAGATGATTATAAATAATTAAAATATGTACACAGTTTCATCCGCTTCATAATTAATCTTCACCAGAAAGTAACCTCTTTGCGCGTTAAGATTGTCATAAATACGTCGAGCAGCGAGCAAATCGTAAACATAATCTACGAGCTACGAGAAGTTAAAAAATTGCCACTCCATTTTGCTGACACGAACTTGAGTTTGGGAGATAAATTTGAAACTGATGTTAAGTAAGACCTTATGCCAAGAAAAAAGAAAACAAACTTAAAGATAACTTAAAAAAATCTTCAAATGCTCGCCTTGTAATTTATAAAATCCAATTCAGATAAACAGCGAGAAGATTGTTCCAAAACATGACCTCATAGGTCAGTTGCATGCTAGCTAATCAGTGCTCTTTTCATCAGTGTATGGAACTATGTTATCGTGCAGTTATTTTCAAAGAGTAGCGCGTCCTTTTTCACTTTTAATTAAGTAAACAACAGAAAAAGCCATGTTTAGGTACAAATCAAGAGATTCTGGTGTGACCTGATTCGCTGAAATGCAACGAAAGGTACATATTTGTTGCAACCTGTCTTGGGTGCGTGGTAAATCGGGCTTGGAGCGGAAGAATCAATTTTAGAAGCAAATTTTAGCTTGTAAAGGATAAGCAAACTC